GGACAGCGACGACGCGAACGACGAAGAAGGAGGAAGGACGGCGACGCCGACGATGGCAACGACGAGGGAGGAGGGAAGACGACCACGACGACAACAACAACGACGACGACGACGGCGACGAAATAGGAGGGACGACGACGAGACGCCGACGACGGACGACGACGACGACAACGAGAGAGGAGGAGGAAGGACGATCACGGCGACAACGACGACGGAAACGACCACGACGCCAAAGAGGACGACGACGACGAACACGAGAAAAGACAGAGGACGACGTAGGCGACGACGACGACGACGACGACGCGGGAGGAGGGAGGACGGCGACGACGACGACGACGCAAGAGCGCGCGCGCACGCTTTTGTTGAAAATCCGTGTTGCGAAACCTTGTGTTTTCGTCTGTTTTTTTGACACAAAATTTTGAAATCCTTCCGAGACCGATGGGTTTTGAAGGATTTCGGCGTACGCGCGCGACGACGCGCGCGCCTGCACTTCGTCACATTTTTTGCAGAGGATTCTCGCGACGGCACACGCGCAAGGGCGTTCGACAGATGTCGACATGCGCGCGCGAAGCCCGTTTGGTAGCATTTTGTGAAAAGATTGGAAAACCTATGGTTTTCTTTAAGATTTCGCAAGAGCTCGCGCGTAAGCTTTTTTAGCAAATCAGTGTTGCGGAACCCTGTGTTTTTGTTTTTGTATGTTCTTTGGAAACTCGATTGCGAAATCCTTCCGACCCCGACGGATTTTGAAGGATTTCGGCATGCGCGCGCGACGACGCGCGCGTGTGCGCTTCGTCGCATTTGTTGCAAGAGATTCGTGACACAAAGTCTTATGCTAGAACAAAAAATGTCCCCGCGTATCGTTTCTTACCAGAGAACCTCAGGGGAACCGATACCGGCCACTCCGGGATAGTGTGGTCATAATCATATGATGATTTACATTCTCGAAAGGGGCGCGGCGAACGCCGGGGGGGGTAGAGTCTATTTTGTTCTTAGAAAGGAGAATATGTGCGGTGCACAGTAATTCAAAACATTGCAAAGCAACCAAAAGCAATGTAACTCTGTGCAACGCAGCGCAAAGTAATGCAACGCAAATCGAATCATTGAAAACAATGCAAAGTGCAAAGCAATGCGAAGCAATCCAAATCAATACGAATGAATGCAACGCGCTGCGAAGCCATTCAAAGCACTGCAAAGCGATACGAGTCAATGCAAAGCTGTGCAACGCAATGCAAAGCAAGGCGACGACGGGCGTGAGAGCGCCATACGAGTCCGGTTTGCGGTGATGGTGGCGCCGACGACGACGACGGCGACGGCGGCGGCGACGACGACGGCGACCGCGACGCTGACGAAGACGACGGCGGCGAATTCGACGACGACGGGGAGGATCGGCGCCGAAGCGGGCGCGCCTCCGTCACGGCGCGCTCGGGCTCGGTCTCGTCGCCCTTCGTGAGGCTCCTCTGCCTCGGGGCGAGGCTGCCCGCGGCGGCTCCCACGGACGGCGCAGCCGCCCGCGGCGGCGCTTCGGCGGCGCTCCGGCGGTGCCGACGGCGAGGGCGACGAGGACGACAACGAGGCCGAGGCGGGACGACGACGGCGGCGAGGACGCCGACGACGGCGAGGGGGACGACGACGGCGAGGACGCCGACAAGGGCCGGGAGTAAGGCGACGGCGAGGGGGAGGGCGAAGGGGGCGAGGAGGGCGAGGAGCGGGGAGGAGCGGGGAGGAGGAGGAGGAGGAGGAGGAGGAGGAGGAGGAGGAGGAGGAGGAGGAGAAGGATGAGGGGGAGGAGGAGAAGGACGAGGAGGAGGAGGAGGAGGAGGAGGAGCGGGGAGGAGGAGGAGGAGGAGGAGGAGGAGGAGGAAGACGGAGGAAGACGGAGGATGGAGAATGATGATGAGGAGGAGGAGGAGGAGGAGGAGGAGGAGGAGGAGGAGGAGGAGGAAGAGAGAGGACGAGGCAGAGAAGGGCGAGTACCGGCAGGACAACGCGAACGGGGGGAGGGAGGGGCGAAGAGCAGGAGGAGCAGCAGGAGCAGGAAGAAGAGGAGGGAGAGACGGGACAGGTTTGCAGGGCGATGGCGAGGAGGATCGCGGCGGACGAGAAGCATCAGCAGCAGCAGGAGCAGCGGGCAGGCCGCACGAGCTGTATCAACAGCGGCACCAACACACAGCAGCAGCAGCAGCAGCAGCAGCAGCAGCAGCAGCAGCAGCAGCAGGAAGGGCCTTCTGCTGCAGAGCCACCGAGCTCTCTGCCAGTCGCAACGGCGCAGATCCAGGCGGTGCGGGGTGAGCGCTGCTCGCTGCCACCGGAAGTGAAGAGGCCAGCGGTGCCAGCATCCTGCTCCCTCTCGTCCTCCACGCCCCCATGATGCCGCTGCCGATTCTCCTCCTCGTCCTCCTCGCACTTCTCCCACGCCTCCGCTTCCTCCAGTCTGCGTGACCCCCCTTCCCGTCGCACTTCCACTCCGCAGCTGCGCACGAGGGTCGGACGATGACAAAGAAGGCCGCTGCAAGGACAACCAGATGAAGAAAGGACGTAATACGAAAGCGCAAATAAACAAATGTCAACATGAAGAGAACATGCGGACATATAGGAGGAGAGAAAAAGAGAGCAGGGCAAGCTAGGTGCACTCGCAGCATATCTGACGTCGTATCACATGCTATCCATCCCTCACATCCCTGACCATTGCATGGAGCCCATCTCTAGTCGCACAATCTGGTGTCGAAGAGGACAGCGATCCCCCAAACGGGACGCGATGCACAGCATGGCATAGCATGGCGTGGGAGGGCACGGCAGAGCGTGGCATGGCATAGCATGATGTGGCAGTGCGTAGCCAAGCATTGCATACCATCGAATTGTAGCGCAAGGCACATTGTCGCATAGCGGTACATCGCATAGGACTGCATGGCATAAGATGGTATGGTACGGGGCACTGTAACATGATATCGCACTGCGTAGCCCACCCTTGCAAATCTCAGCATTGCAGAGCAGGGCATGGAACCGCATAGCGGCACACGACATAGTATTGCAAGCCATGGGTGCGTGAACGGTGCAGCCAGACCACCATTCTGGAGGACTGACAGTTTAACAATTGGAGACGAGGCTGGCGCTGAAGCGAGAGCCACAGCTTGAAGGACCGAGAAAGAGGAAATGAGGCCAACGCAACAGCATGATCACCATGAAAGGACCGAAAACACGGAAAAGAGAGAGAGAGAGAGAAAAAAAAAAGAGAGAAACAAAGAGAGGGATAACGAGAAAAACAGAGAGGGAGGAGGAGACAACGAAAAGAAACAGCAGCAGGAGATCGCGCGAGGAGGCGGGCCCGGTCGCCTCAGGGCCTCCTCCCTCTCCGCCTTCCGCTTGGCTTTCTTCTCCTCTAAGGGTGGGCCCGCTGAGGTCGCCTCAGCACCCTCTGCTAACCCGAGCCTGCTCAACTTCTGTTGCTCCCATCGTACTTAAGGACCACATCCCAGAAATGACTTCGATCACCCAGAAAAGTATCCAAACAGTGTCGAACGAGTATCGCCTCCCAGGGCCCGACACGTGAAAACCCTCTCATTTCGGTAATTTCCTGCTCGAGATTCTTCCTGGTGACAGTGATCAAGGCTAAAGTAGGTTGGAACATCATAATCCTCAACCTCGTTCGGGTGGAGAAGACAGGGTTCAGACCTTCAGGGAGCCCGCCTTCGGTCGGGCCCACCGGCTCGGACTCGGGCTCGTGGTCCGCGCTTCCCGCGCTGCTGTGAACGCCGTGCCCGCTTCGCAGCCCAGCGATAGCGACACCTACGGTCAGGAACTATCAGTTAGCATGTCGCGGCGGCGGCCCCTACGACACGCTACGCCCTGCATGGCGGTTCGCTCTGCTTCGTTGGACGTGCTCAGCGTGTCGCGCCCAGGCGTGGTGGGCCGGAACCGGCGGCGCGACACGTTAAGCAAACGCTCCTGACTGTAGCGACGCAGCGCTGCAAAAGGAGTGCACCACAACACTCTTGCAGGGGGTACTTGAGAAGAGGCTGTGACAGGAATTTCGCCCAACCGCGGCTCGCACTTCGTAGCAGCACCCGAGCGTAGATGGCAAGGGAAAGCCCAGCATATGAGCTCGTGCCAACCGCCACTAAAGCCCCGTCGACCATTGGTCCCTGTCGTAGATCATGCTGGTCAATATGAAAACCAACCTTGCTGTGATTGCAATCGTCCTCGCCTGCACCTCCTCCCCCTGCTCCTCCAACTCCTCTGCCTGTGCATCCGCTCCCGCGAACACCTCCTAATCTTCCCCCTCCTCCGCGTCACGCATACACAAATACTCATCCCCACCCCTCCCCATCCCCTCTTGCTCTTCTCTCCTCCCACGTCGTCCTCCTTTCTCATCGTACTCCATCATCATCATCATCCTCCACGCCACATTCCGGGCGTCTTGTCTAGTTGCCCCCCAGTTCACCAGATGTTCTTGAGACCTTCAGCTGCGACGATCAACTGGCGCCCACATATATGTGCAGCATACGATCTATACATATATATATGATTGGAGAATAAATCAATCACAAATGATTTTCGTATTTGAAAAAGTTGAAAAAAGATTGATCCAGACATTAAAATTATGAAAATTATTTGCTATTAGATAAATTAAAAAAGAAGGCCCGTATGAATCGGGTTCCCGTATTCAATTCCAGACATCCAGGCCGTATGAATCGGGTTCCCAGAAAGCCTTCTGGGAGCATGGGTTTGGGCCGTCTTGGAGAGCCTGTTGGGGCGTTCCGTCGTCGTCGTCGTCGTCGTCGTCGTCGTCGTCGTCGTCGTCGTCGTCGTCGTCGTCTTGCTACGACCCATTCCCGAACCTGACCTTGGGGGTGGCCTAACCTGGCGCAGCCCCGATTGGCAACAGACCCGACACGTTCCGTCCAAACTGAACGCCAGGTTCGCACCCGCCCAGCACGAAAGGACGGCAGCTGCGGTCGCCAGTTGTCTCGCGCCGAGTCCGTACGTTTTACTACGGGGACGGACTGATGTTTGCCTCTTGAAGGCCCTCTTGGGGCCCTCTTCGGCCATCTTCAAGCCATCTCGGGCCCTCTTGGGCCTCGCTGATGCGGTCCTGGGGCCCTCTAGGGCGTCCGCGGAACCCGGAAGTCATGTTCCCGGAGAGGCTTCCAGGAACATGATTTCGAACGGGGCCCTCTTGGGCCTCCCTGAGGCCGTCTTGGGGGCCTCCTGGGCCGGCTTCGGGGCCTCTTGGGCCGTCTCGGGGGGTTCGGTGAGCCCCACAGGCCGACCCTTTTGGGCCGTCTGGGGCCCTCTTGGGTCTCTCTTGGGCTGTCTTGGGGCTCCTCGGGGGCGTCTGGGGCACTCAGCGAGTACGCTGAAAATGCACGTTTTACGAAGGAAATGGACCGATGTTTGCCTCTTGAAGGCCCTCTCGGGGCCCTCTTCGGCCATCTTCAAGCCATCTCGGGCCCTCTGGGGCCTCGCTGAAGCTGTCCTGGGGCCCATTAGGGAGCGCTGGGAGCCCGGAAACCATGTTCCCGGAGAGGCTTCAGGGAACATGATTTCGAACGGGGCCCTCTTGGGCCTCCCTGAGGCCGTCTTGGGGGCCTCCTGGGCCGGCTTCGGGGCCTCTTGGGCCGTCTGAGAAGGTTCAGTGAGCCCCACAGGCCGACCCTTTTGGGCCGTCTGGGGCCCTCTTGGGTCTCTCTTGGGCTGTCTTGGGGCTCCTCGGGGGCGTCTGGGGCACTGCGAAGACCAAGCCAGCAATTATGCTGAAAATGCACGTTTTACGTAGGAAATGGGCCGATGTTTGCCTCCGGATGGCCCTCTCGGGGCCCTCTTCGGCCCTCTTGGGGCTCTCTTTGGGGCCCTCGGGGGACCAATTGGGGCCTCTTGTGGCCTCGTCGGAGGCTTCTTGAGACTGAGGGCCCGAATTTTCGGCGAGGGGGCCACGATCCTCGTGAGGGGTGCCAAAAAATGGACCGGGGGGCCCCCATGGCGAACAGAGGCAGCAGCCGCCCCCCCCCGGCCTACTCCGATCTCTCTCTCTCTCTCTCTCTCTCTCTCTCTCTCTCTCTCTCTCTCTATATATATATATATATATACACACACATATATATATATATATATATATACATGCATGTATGTGTATGTGTATGTATATGTATATGTAGATGTATATGTATATGTATATGTATATGTATATGTATATGTATATGTATATGTATATGTATATGTATATGTATATGTATATGTATATGTATATGTATTTGTATTTGTAGATGTATATGTATATGCATATGTATATGTGTAAGTATATGTATGTGTATATGCATATGCATATGTATATGTATATGTATATGACTATACATATTTGTATGTATGTGTGTATGTATGTATGTATGTATGTATGTATGTATGTATGTATGCATGTATGCATGTATGTATGTATGTATGTATGGATGCATGTATGTATGTATGTATGTATGTATGTATGTATGGTTGTATGTATGTATGTATGTATGTATGTATGTATGTATGTATGTCTATATCTATGTAAATATACCCCAAACAGTGCTTGTGCTTAGGGGCTCTTACTCCTCCTCTAAGGAACTGGGTCTGTCCGCCGGTCTGGTGGTTGAAGATTCGCCGTCGCCGCCCCGTCGCCCTCTCGTCGATGCCCGTCGTCTGGGCCTGTCTGTTGGTCTGGCGGCTATGTCGTCGACGTCGCCGCCCCGTTGACGCCTCGTCGCCGCCCGTCGTCTGGGCCTGCCTGTCGTTCTGGCGGCTATGTCGTCGCCGTCGCCGCCTGGTCGCCGCCTCGTGGCCGCCCGTCGTCTGGGCCTGACCGCCAGTCTGACGGCTATGTTGTACCACATAGATTGCGCAACACATATTGCACAACAAATATTGCGCCACACAGATTGCACAACTCAGATTGCACCACATTTGTTGAACAACATAGATTACACCACATGGACTGCACCACACAGGTTACACCGCATACATTGCACGACATCGATTGCCACATCGATTGCACCACATGTACTACTCCACATAGGTTACACGACATCCGCCACAGTGCCAGCACGGAGTGGGCGTGTTCGAGTGCTCGTCTGCTGTCTGTGAGGTGTTGTAGAGTTTAATGGATGCCCCCCTCCTCGCACGCGCGCCTAAAAAAATGCCCCTTCTGAAACTGCTTTCTGGCGGTCTCTCCTGCCTCCAGACGCCCAAGACGGCTTCCAAGACAGCCAAGGCGACATTAAACCGGCTCAAGATGGCCCAATATTGCTCAAGAGCCTCTCAAGAGAGCCTCCAGACGGCTCAAGACAGCCCAATACGGCCTCAAGACGGCTCTTAGAGAACCCAAATATCGCCCGAGAGAGCTCCAAGAGGCCTTCCTGGAGAGCCCAAGGGGGGGCCAACACCATTGATTTCCTTAAGGTGTTTGAAAGATTTTGAGGTCCTCGCCTGTTCGGGTTTCCGACCGCCCAAGACGGCCCAAGAGGCTTCCAAGAGGCCTCCACGTTAGCTCTAAGACAGCCCAAGAGGCCTCCAAGAGGGCCCCAAGTCGGCCCAAGAGGATCCGAAGATCGCCCGAGGGGGTCCTTTGCAAAGAGGGCCCCAAGACGGCATTGAAGAGCTCCAGGAGAATAACAAGAAGACACCCAAGAAGAGCTGGGAATGGCTCCAGGAGGGCCCGAAGAAGGGCCCCCAAAAGCACGGAACGGCACGTCACGCGCGCACTCACTCGCGTGACTGCATTGTCACCGCTATTGAAGCCCTCTGGGAGCGTCCCCACGCTCTTGCTGGGATGGAAGCGTCTTCAACTTAAGGCGTGGAAGAAGCATACTGTAGTCTCTCTTTAGGGCCACTTCAGACTCTATTGGAGGCGTCATGGGAGCCTCTTGGGAGCCCCTTGTAAGCCTCTTAGGGGCCTCTTGGGAGCCTCCTGGGGGCCTCCTGGAGTACTCTTGGAGCGTCATGGGCCCGTGTTGGGCCTCTCCTGGAGCTTTGCTGGACGATCTTGGAAACAACTGGAGGCCCAAAAGATCTCATCGGAGCCGTAGTGGCGAGACAGCCACAAGCACTAAAAAAACATACTGTTTGCTCACTATCTGAAGCCCTCGGGGGCATCCTTTGGAAGGCCCAGATCGACTTCACATCCATCTTGGGACCTTCATTTGAAGGATTTGAGCGCCCGTGGGCACCCTTCTTGGGGTGTCTTGGGGCCATCGCAGGCGTTCTTGGCCCGTCCCGGGGTGGATCCTGGGAGACTCTCCTGCCTTTTGCAACCTTCCGGGGCCATCTCGGGCCGTCTTGGACGCCAGGGAGTGCGGTTAAGAAAACCGGTTCTCGAATATGTTCCCCGTGTGCCAGGGGCCTGGCCGGAGACCGGGAACCCAGTATTCTATAGGTGTACGTATGTATATACATTCACACATGCATACATACATACATACATACATATATACATACATACATACATACATACATACATACATACATACATAAATACATGCATACATGCATACATGCATACATGCATACATGCATACATGCATACATACATACATACATACATGCATGCATACATACATACACACACACATACATATAAACAAACAAACTAACATCACTACAGACAAACAACGCACAAATAAACAAACAAACAAACAAACAAACAAACAAACAAACAAACAAACAACAAACCATACATACATACATGCATGCATGCATGCATACATACATACATATACACAACCTCACGTACACATACATGCATGCACACGCACAGACATACACAGACAGGCATACATACATACATACGCACACACACATATACATACACACACATACATACATACATACATACATACATACATACATACATACATGCATGCATGCATGCATGCATGCATGCACACATTCATACATACTCACATACTTACATACACATATATACATATATACATACGTACATACACACATGTATACATACATACATACATACATACATACATACATACATACATACATACATACATACACACACATACATACATACATACATACATACATACATACATACATACATGCATACATACATACAAACACACATACATACACACATACCTGCATACATACATACAGGCAGGCAGGCAGGCAGGATGGCATCCATACATACCTACACACACGTATACTAGAACCATCGCGCGCTTCGCGCGTACTCAAGTTCTAGCTAGGCTGGATGGTCGGCCTCTCGGGGACCTCTGATGTATGATACTTCTTCTCCGGGGGTTCACTAAGACGGCCCAAGTGGCTTCCAAGACTTCCTACGGTCCACCCACGGCGGCCTAAGACAGGTACAAGAAACACTTCGGAGGCAGTTGTTTCGCGGGGGCTGGACGTAGCCGGAGGGGGAGGGAGCAAACGGGGATGTGAAGGGCTTCCCTGGAGGAGAGGGGGGAGGATGAGGAGGAGGAGGAGGAGGCCGCAGAGGAGGAGGAACAGGAGGAGGAGGAGGAGAAAGAAGAGGAGGAAACCTGATATTTCCTTGTTTTGCAATCGTAGCCAAGAGCTTGAGAACCATGGACATGTTGGAGTTCCCTTTTTTGTCAAGTGCCCTCGGGGCCTCTCTTGAAGCTCTTTTGAGCCTCTTTGGGGCTTCTTGAGGACCTCTTGAGGCCTCCTGGGGGGCTCCTGGGGCCAAGATATCGGGTTCTCGGTTCACGTTCCCTATCCTGGGCCGAGGTTGGGACCCTCTCGGGCCGTCTTGAACGTCTCTTCGGTCGTTTTGGAGCCGTCTTGGGGCGCTTTTGAAACCTATTGGGCCGTCTTGGGGCGATCCTCGGGGCCTCTTGAGGCGTCTTGCAGCGTCGTGAGGCGGAACAGGCGGGAACGCCAACATAAATCAATTACAAGCGGAATCTCGATATTGTTTAACATCTTCGAGCTCTCTTGGGAAACTTCTTGGAGGCCTCTTGGGTATCTTGGGGGCCTCTTGGGCCGTCTGGAGGCCGTCTCGGGCGTCTTGGACCGTCTAGTGGTATTCGGCGCCTCTTGGATCGGAAGGCTTATATCGTCGGTTCGTGTTCCCCCTCTTGGGCCCGTCTTGGGGCCGTCTTAGGGCCCTCTTGGGCGATCTTGGGCGCCTCTTGGGTCGTTTTGGGGACCTCTTGGACCGTCTTGGGGCCCTCTTGGGGACCTCTTGGGCCGTCTTGGGGTGGTCTTGGGGGGCCTCTGGGGCCATCTTGGAGTGTCGGAAAGCCATAACGCGAGAACGTTCAACACATAGAAAAACACATTGGAAATCACTGATGCTAGCCTCTTTAGGACCTCTTAGGGGTCCTCTTGGAGCGCTCTCTGGGCTTCTTTGGGGCCTCTTGGACCGTCTTGGGGCCATCTTGGGCGTCTTCGAGCGATCATGGGCTGTCTTGGAAGCCTCTTGGACCCTCTTGGGCGCTTTCTGGGGCCCTCTGGCCTCTCTGGGCCGCCTCTGGGAGGCGAACCGGGAAGCAGCAAAAAGCTTTCCCAGATGGTTGCGGACTGGGCGCCCCCAGGCGGGGGGGGAAAGGTCCTGTTTGCAGATGTGATATACAAACGCGTATATACATCATGCATGCGCATCTCTGCTATGATACACACTTCCCCGAGGGAGTAGAACTCAGAGACGACTGATCGCCGCCGCGTTCATCAGTTTCCGGCCATTTCGCAAGGGACATGTTCTGAGCATCCTGAAACTTGCACGCGCGTGCCACTTGTATACACCCTGTGGCTCCGCCGCACAAGTCCGTCAGAGCCTGACCGACGGGCGTGCCCGCACCCAGTGCTGCCGACCCCCTCGCCCTTTGGCCCTCCCCCCCCCCGGGACGCGTCCTTCTTGTCCTTCTTCTTCTTCTTCTTGTCCTGGCAAGGGGGGGCCGCCGGCTGCAGGCCTGCGCCACTCACGGACAGGCCCCTTCTGGGCCCGGGTCGGGGTGCGCGTGCGCCCCCTCCTGCCGCTTGGAGTCCCGAAGCGGTGCGGTGACAGACCGTGCGGTGACCTCGAAAGCCCCCAAGACCTCACCGCGCGGTCCGTCAACGCACGGTCTTGGGACCCCGGAGGCCCGTGTCGCCCGAGACATCCTCGGAGAGGGACTCGAGTCCCAAAACCGTGCGGTGACCCCGAAGCCCCACCGACTCGCCACACGGTGTGGTCGCCCCCCCGTTTGGGGGCCCCTGGTGTCGGCTGCACGTGGGAGCGACCCCGGGCAAGAGTGACCTCTGGCGTGCGGCTTTGGGGGGGGCGCGGGGGGGCCAGGCTCAAGTGCGCCGGCCGCTGCCGTCGCATCGCGTTCGGCCATCGGGGGGCCCCCAAGTGGGGCCGCACCAGAGGTCACTCCGGCGAGCGGTCACGCTTACGCGTAGTCGATCCTGGCCTTGCGAAGAGGTCGAGTAGGAGATCGACTACAGATTGGATTCAGCCCGAAACTGACAGCATCGATGAATCTGCCATATGCTAAGCAACATGTTCGTCGATCTGCAACAAAACCTCCTTTGCATGTTTCGAACCATCGACGACAAGACCAATAGATGGGTCCATCAATGCTGTAGCCGATCTCCCCGAAGGTGGCGTGCGCACCGATCCCGGGGCCCAGGAGTGGCCCGGCCAGCAAGAGGTGCCTGCGCACTGCACTGCACAAGCCGTACGCCGTCCGGCGCGTAGGCGGGAAAAGTATGACTTCAAGCGTTCACTGCCAATGCGCCTGCTAAACAGGGCAGTTGGAGGAGGAGGAGGAGGAGGAGGAGGAGGAGGGGGAGGAGGAGGAGGAGGGAGAGGGAGAGGAGAGGTGGAGAGGTGCCTGCGCACACGTCCAAGAAGACACCCCCGGAGAGAGGGCGCAGGGCAGGGGCGCACAAGGGGAGGCACGGCGACGTCCACCGGCGTGTGCGGCGGCGGCCCGCAGGACGGACGGGGCGAGCACCGCCGATCATGATGGGCCTGTTTTCCACCACCAGCACCAGAAGCTGGAGGGGGAGGGGGTCCTCCTCCTCGTCCTCCTCCTCCTCGTCCTCCATCCTCCTCCTCCCCCTCCTCCTCCTCCTCCTCCACCTCCTCCCCCTCCTCCCCCTCCTCCTCCTCCACCTCCTCCCCCCCTCCAACTTGTGGTGGTGGTGGTGGAAAACGGGCCCATCACCACTGGCATGTGAGGCGACGGCCCGCAGGACGGGTGGTGGTGGTGGAAACGGGCCCATCACCACTGACATGTGAGGCGACGGCCCGCAGGACGGACGGGACGAGCACCGCTGATCTGGACTCTGTTTTGAATAGGGGCCGGCCGTCCCAGCATTGCTACTAGGCCTAGGCCAGATCGTCCCAGAACGGGGCACAGACCCGACGTGGTATAAGACAGGACAGGCTAGCCAGAAATGTTCTAAGAACATTCCGTGCAAAACACAACAATGTCTTAGAACATGTTGCTGATGGGCTATAGGCAAACCAGGACGCTTCGCCTCTGCTTGACTGCTGGCGTCGCGGAGAAGGCGGCAGGGGGAGGGGGAAGGGCTTCTCAGAAGGAGGCTGCTTCTTAGAAGGCGTGGGCCTTACACCTAAATTCCGCGCCTTCTATGGAGGAGCCTCCTTCTGAGAGGCCTTCCCAGTCCCCCTGCCCCTTTTGAACGTGGCCGATTCTGGCTGCTGCTGCCCTGAGATCGGGCACCGTGGATCCTAGGGAGGAGGAGGAGGAGGAGGAGGAGGAGGAGGAGGAGGAGGAGGAGGAGGAGCAGGAGCAGGAACAGGAGCAGAAGCAGGAGGAGGATGAGGAGGAGGAGGAACAGAAGCAGGAGCAGGAGGAGAAGGAGGAGGAGGCACGAAGCTGGTCTCACTCTGATTCGTGTGTGCTCTCGATCCCCGCCCCCCTGCAGGGCGGAGAGCGGGCGGCCACTGGGTCTTGCAAGTTCGTGCCCGCCTCCGCAGCCGCAGTCCGAGATCCGCGGGCGGTGCGACGGTTGGTCAACCACCGTCGGGGCAAAACCCGTATGCATCCCCTACACCCTACGGGGCCGCACACCATCCCTGCGCGGCTCCGATGGAAACAAAAAAACACACCGGCCGTATATCATTTACGGTTCATAGAACGCCACATACCATCCCTATACAGGTCCCATGCAGCAAGACCCACTCATGTACAACTCCGATGAAGTCCCATACCATCCTTTATCAGGTTCGGGCAGAGCCTTCTGGGAGCAATCCCTGGAAAGGCGGTAGGACATCCTTCTGAGACCCAAAACTGAAAATGTGGCGCCTGCAGCTGACATCAGCCACACCTCCTGTCCCCATGTGGCGAGTTCAAAAAAACCTGAGCCAAAAAGCCTTGCCATCTCTTGGGAGGCCGATCTCCACTTCACACGGCCTCCGATGGCTCCTGCCAGCCTTCCGCCAGCGGAGGGGGCCTCGCCCTGCTTCCGTCGCCTTCCGCCGCCCCACCCGCCGAGGAAGAGCTGACAACTCACCCGATGCTCGAAGAGGCGAGGCCCTCTCTCGCATGCCCCCTGCCTGTGCGGCATGTCTCGTGCTCGGCCGACCCTTGAGGGCCCGGGGGCCCGAGTCGTTCTCGATCGTGCCGCCGCCGGGCGTCGTGGGCGGCGCCATCGAGCTCCATTTGAAGTCAGAGCTGGACCCGTCCCAGGCCACCCTCGCAGCCAGTGTCGCGGGCTGCGGCGTTCAGACGTCAGGGTCAGTCAGCACTGGATCGGGAAATCGGATCGCATCGGCTGCGGGGGGAATGCGCAGCAACGCCACGCAAGCGTCGGGCCGCATCGGATCGTCGAAATATCAGAACCAGATCGGGCCGGGCTGGCCGAAATCGGTATCGGAACGGATGGATCGGATCAACATTGACCCTGCACGTGGCCGCGTTTGCCCCCCCCCCCCCCCCCCCGAAAGGCCCAGAAAGGGCAGAAAACATAAAACACCTTCTGCCTCCCCCCTCCACCACCTCGTCCTAGGTTACTCTGGCCTGGGTCAGTGCAGGCATCGGGGTCAAGACCTGTGCTATACAGCGCGTTCTGACTAGGATCTCGAAGGGATCCCAGCGCGTGGCGACGTGGGCCCCCAGGGAACCCAGAAAAGTCTTCCCTCCCTCCCCATCCGCTTGTAGCCACTCAAGATGAATACTACCCTCCTCCCGCCCCAGATCCAGCCTGAGCGGGGCAGCTTTCCTCCCTCATATGGACCTCTGGCGTCCAGGATTTCAAGACATGCTGCGCATCTTAAAATCGGGGTGTTCTCGGGATTCCGAAATGGTGCTCCCGCTGCAGCGTTGGCCTCATCTTCGGATCGACGATCTGCTCCCGTCGTTCACGCCCCAGCGCGGGCCACAATTCTGGATCCGAGTCCTTCCCCAGCGCGGGCCACCATTCTGGATCCGAGTCCTTCCTCATCGTTGTCGCCACGCACCTTCCCTCTCCTCCGCCTTCCACTGGTCCTATTGCTCCCCCGTGCTTCGTTCTCCTGTTCCTGCTGATGTTAATCCTCGTCTTCCTCCTTCCGCAACCTCATCCTCTTCCCCGTGCTCATTCTCTTGCTCATCCGCCACCCACTCCTCTTCCAATTGCCCATAGAACGGTGGGATCTTTTAGGGGCTCCACGCCAGCTACGACACCCGTCGGTGGACAGATAACAACATAGCGCAAAGGGAAGGTATGTGTGGGAGGGGTAGGACGCACCTAGCTTGCTTCCTCCTCCTCGGAGGCCCCTTGAGATCTCCGAGGTCCTAGGACGCCCCCTGACCTTTCCTGAGGTCCTCGAAAGTCCCGGAGTTATCTGGAGTTCTCCGCGCCATCCTTGCCCCTCCGTTCCCTGCGTAGTTCCTATTCCTCCTCATCCTCCTCAACCTCCTCCTCCTCATGCCCAGCCTCCTCTTACCTCGACCCGTCCCGCCCTACCCGCCTCCCTGCATTCATCCCCCCGTCCCGCCCGACCTACCTCCCCTCCCTCCCCCGAGGGTCCTCCCCTACTCCCTTCCTCCTCCTCCCCCCTCGCTACCTCCGCCATCCATCCCCACCTCATTCTGGCCATCATTATTATCGCTCATCCCTCCCTCTCTCCCTCCCCTTCTCCTTCTCCTCCTCCTCCTCCTCCTCCTCCTCCTCCTCCTCCTCCTCCTCCTCCTCCTCCTCCCCCTCATTGTACAGCATGCGACTGGCACCTGGGAAAAGCCTCCTCCTCCTACTCCTCCTCTTGGCCTCGTGAGATTAAGCTCTCGTTTGGATCAGCCCCGAAGCGATTGTACAAATGTTTACTAGATCCCCCTCCTCCTCCTCCTCCGTCTCCTCCTTCTCCTCCTCCTCCTCCGCCCCCTCCTTCTTTCTCCCCATTGTACCTCCTGTTCCTCCTCGTGTCCCTTCTCGTCCTGCTTTTCGTCCTCCGCCATCCCTCCTCCTAGATCAGACCTCCTCCCTCCCCCTCCCGCCCGACCCACCTCCCTACATTCCTTCCTTTCTCCCTCCCTACCTCCCGCCCTCCCTGCCGCCTCCTCCTCCGCCCGCCCTCCCTCCCTCCCCCCCTCCATCCCCACCTCCTCCTCGTCCTCCTCCTGCCGCCGCGGTCGATCCCCGCAGCCTCCCTGGGGTTTGCTCGGTGGAGACCCTCAAGGGCCGCGAGAATCTGGCGGGGATCCAGCAAGGCTTGCACCCTGGCTGGGGGTACTTGGAGGTGGTGGCGTCCTGCGACGAGGGCATTGCGAGGTTTCAGGAGGCCCTCCGCTCCCCCCCCCGTCGAGCGCTGGCGCTCCTCGGAGGCTTCCTCCTCCTCCTCCTCCTTCTCCTCCTCTTCCTCCTCTCTTTCTCCTCCTCCTCCTCCTCCTCCTCCTCCTCCTCCTCCTCCTCCTCCTCCTCCTCCTCCTCCTCCTCCTCTTCCTCCACTGCATTCCCTTACAAACAAGTGGCACGCATGCCCTAGCTCTTGCACCAAGGAGCTGCGAGGGACAGGAAACTTTCGCCTCCTTCCTCCAGGAGTTTCTTTCCGTGAAGGGGGGGAACGGCAAACGACGAGCGAACGACCGAACGGCGACAATTAAGAGGTCCGAGCTCTAGAACACAGCTGTATAAGAGAAAAACATGTTCGAGCTCTAGAACAACGGCAAATCCATGGGGGCCATGGCAGACGACGAACGACTGGGCCAGGGAGGCCGGGGGGGAGAGCGAGGGGGGCTGGGTCCAGGGCAAAGGCAGGGGGGAGGGCTGGGTCCAGGGCCAGGCCAGGGGACCAGGGAGGCCAGGGGAGGGGCCAGGGAAGCCAGGAGGGGGAGGGCGAGGGGGGCTGGGTCCAGGGCGAAGGCAGGGGGGATGCCTGGGCCCAGGGCAGGGCCAGGGAGGCCAGGGGGGAGGACGAACGACGAACGAACGAACGACGACGACGAACAAGCGAACAAACGACGACGACGAAAATAAGGAGGCCTGGGGGGGGGGGGCGACGAACGGGAGGCCAGGGGCGGAGAGCCAAGGGGGCTGGGTCCGGGGAGTGGGTTAGGGAGGCCAGGGGGGGAGAGCGAGGGGAGCTGGGGAGGGCTGGGTCCAGTGCAAGGCCAGGACGGCCAAGGGGAAGGACGAACGACGAACGAACGAACGACGACGACGAAAACAAAGAGGTTCGAGTTCTCGAACACAGCTGTCCACTATAATGAAATGGTAGGAGCCGCACCGTGCCGTGCCGCTAGAACGCGGCCGGGGCGGAGGGACGCGCTGAGAGATGCGGAGAGCGCATATGGGCTGCGGAAGGGGGACCAGTGCCGTGCCGCGCCGGATCAACTGAGGACGGGGAGGGGGCGACGCGAAATAAAGCAGTCGGGGCGGAGGGGGCACTCGGCTGCTGGGGACGGAGGGATGGTAAAGACAAGGGGGCCGCTGGGGACAGAGCTGGGGACAAAGGGGGGGGGCGACGCGGAATAAAGTGGTCGGGGCGGAAGGGGAACTGGGCGGAGGTTCCATTGAGCCGCTGGGGAACGCTGGGGAAACGTGGGGGGAGCGGGGGGGGGTGCGACGCGACGCGGGATGAAATGGTCGGGGCGGAGGGGGCATTGGGCGGTGGTTCCACTGGGCCGCTTGGGAACGCTTTGGAAGGAAGGGAACGGGAGAGGGGAGGGGGTGCGACGCGACGCGGGATAAAGTTGTCGGAGCTCTAGACGCTCTGCGCAAGAGAATCAACTGGTCGGAGAGGAAGGGGGGGCGGTCCCGTGCCGTACCGAAAGAACGCGGTCGGGGCGGAGGGGCGCGCTGGCTGGCGGGGGGGAGGGACGCGGAGAACTACATGGGTTGCGGAAGGGGGGCTGGTGCTGCGCCGTGCCGGAACAAAACTGAAGACAGCCAGCGGGGGGGGGGGACGCAAAAGAAAGTGGTCGGAGCGGGGGGGGAGGGGGGGCGACGCGAAAGAAAGTGGTCGGAGCGGAGGGGGCGCTCGGCTGGCTGCTGGGGACTTGGCGGGGTTTCCACTGAGACGCGAGGGAACGCTGGGAGGCGCTGGGAGTGGGGGGCGACGCGACGCAGACTAAAGTCGCCGGGGCGGAAGGCGTCGGGAGTGGCGCTGGGGGGAGGTGGGGGGCCGACATGACGCGGAGTAAGGGCGCTGGGCCGCTGGGGAACGCTGGGGAAAGGAGGGGGATGGCGGGGGCAGGGAGGGGAGGGCGCGACGCGACGGGGAATAAAATGGTCGGGGCGGGGGGGGCACTGGGCATGGTTCCACTTGGATGCGGGAGAACGCTGGGGACGGGGGTGGTGCGACGCGACGAGGAATAAAATCGTCGGGGCGGATGGGGCACTGGGCTGCTTGGGCACGCCAGGGAGGGGGTGGCGGGGGCGGGGAGGGGGTGCGACGCGAAGCGGAATAAACTGGTCGGGGCGGGGAAGCCCTGGGCGGGGGTTCCACTGGGGCGCGGGGGAACGCTGGGGAGGGGAAGTTGGACGCGACGCGGAATGAAGTGGTCGGGGCGGAGGGGGCACCAGGCTGCTGGGGGACGCTGGGGAAGCAGTGGCGGGGGCAGGGAGGGGGGGGTGCGACGCGACGCGGAATGTAGTGGTCGGGGCGCGGGAGGCACAGGGCGGGGGTTCCACAAGGACGCAAGGGAACGCTGGGGAGGGAGGAGGGGTGCAACGCGACACGGAATAAACTGGTCAGGTCGGAAGAGGGCACTGGGCGGGGCCTCGGGGGAACGCTGGGGAGAGGAGGAGGTGGGGTGCGGTGCGACGCGGAATGAAATGGTCGGGGCGGAGGTGGCACTGGGCCGCTGGGGCTGGGAGGGCACGGGGGTGGGGAGGGGGGAATGCGGGGCGCGGTGCGGCACGGAACAAAATGGTCGGGGCGGAGGGGGTGCTGGGCGGAAGTTCCAGATGGCCGTCGGGGCACGCTGGGGAGGGTTGGGAGGGGGGCGGGGGCAGGGGGATGGGGGCGCCGGTGCGACGCGAAATACAAAAATCGCGGAGGAGGGGGCGCTGGGGGGAGGTTCCACAAAGCCGTCGGGGCACGCTGGGGAGGGCTGCGGGGGGCGGGGAGGGGGGGGGGCGTAGTGCGACGCGGGTCGAGGTGGAGGGGACACTGGGCGGAGGTTCCAATGGGCCTCTGGGGGCGCTGGGGAGAGGGGGGGCGTCGACGCGGAATGAAATGGTCGGGGCGGGAAGCGGCACTGGGCGGAGGTCCAAGTGGGCTGCTGGGGCTGGGGAGGAGTGGGAGGGGGCTGGGGGGGGGGGGGGGGGCGGGGCGCGGTGCGACGCAGAATGCAATTGTCGGGGCGGAGGGGGGACTTGGCGGAAATTCCATTGGGCCGTTAGTGCACGTCGTGCAGGGTTCGGAAGGGGGGCGAGCAGGGGGAAGGGGGCGCGCGGTGCGACGCGTAATACAATAATCGGCGCGGCAGGGGTACTGGGCGGAAGTTCCATGGTGCCTCTGGGGAACGCTGGGGGGAGGACGAGGGGGGCGCGGTGCGACGCGGAATAAGATGGTCGAGGCGGAAGTTCCACTGGGCCACTGGAGAACGCTTGGGAGGGGTAGGAGGGGGCGGGGCGGGCAGGGGGGGAATGGAGGAAGGGTGGGAGGGGGGCGGAGAAGGCAGGCGGGCGCGTGTGAACGCGGAATGAAATAGTCGGGGCGGAGGGGGCATTGGGCGGAGGTTCCACTGGGCCTCTGGGGAACACTGGGGAGGGGTAGGAGGGGGGGGGGGATGCGGTGCGACGCGGAGTAAAATGGTCGAGACGGAGGGGGGCGGCCAGGCGCGGTGCTGGGGTGTGGTGGGGTGGGGCGGGGAAGGGGGCGGGCGCGGTGCGACGCGAAATGGAATAATCGGCGCGGAGGGGGCACTGGGCGGAGGCTCCACTGGGCCACTGGGGAAAGGTAGGAGGGGGTGGGCGGGCAAGGGGAGGGCGGAGGAGGGGGTAGGGGGGGGAGCGGGGAGGGGGGCGGGCGCGGTGCGACGCTGAATATAATGGTCGGGGCGGAGGGGGCACTGGGCAGGGATTCCACTCGGCCACTGGGGAACGCTGGGAAGGGTAGGAGGGGGGCGGGGCATGAGGGGGTGCGGTGCGACGCGGGATAAAGCGTTCGGAGCTCTGGACACCCTGTGCAAGAGAACTGCATTCTTCATGTCGTACCCCGGGGCCTGCCTTCAGGCCGGGCCGGGCGTTTCGCCCGAGACTTCCTCACCATTTACGGGTCTCAAGCTTCAAACGTGGCAACAGCTTTACGGATTGAAGGCGGGTGGTTTTCAAAACGTGGCTCTCGCCTTGACGTCAAGCGCATTCGTTTTAAAATTTTGCGGGGATTTCACGGATTGAGGGCGGGCAGTTTTCAACATGTGGTTCTCGCCTTAGCGCCGGGAACGTTCGTTGTGAACAGTTGCAAGAGCTTCACGGATTGAGGGCGGTTCCTTTTCAAAATGTGGCTCTCGCTTTCGCGTCGCACACATTCGTCATTAAACGCTGCAAGAGTTTAACGGGTTCCCAGGATCAACGTACCAGAAATTGTGTTTTGGCCAGATTCAGGGTTATGAGGGCCCCACAATTACATTGAGTCGCGGTTTTGAAATCCCAGGAATGGCGTTCTGGCACGATTCAGAAACGTCAAGACGCAACGGTCAGGTTGATCCGTGGCGTTGGAGTCCCGAAAATAATGTTTTGGCATGCTTCCAGGTCTTCCGACGAGGCATTTCCTTAATGAGCCGCTTTAGGAGCCTATGAAGAGGGAGCTTGGAGGGAGGGTTCATTCTAACATCGTTGGTGACTCTTGGCTGCACACTGGTCTTCCTCCTCCTCCTCCTCCTCCTCCTCCTCCTCCTCCTCCTGCCCCCACCCCATCCTCCCCCCCCTTCGTAACACTTCGCCCCTGCTCGTCGGTACCCCCCCAATCTCGGGGGAGGACAGGGTCGTTCAGCCGCCAGCTAGCTGGTGGCTGCTGCGACCGCTGCGCGCAGATTGCCGTCCTCTAGGAAGCCGTTTTGTGAGGTTGCTAGCGCGGGCTGGCCCCCATCCAGCAGCCCCCACAGCAGGCTGCGAGTTGGGGGCTCCTCAAACAATGGGCGTCCCCCATTTGCAATTCTTCTGTCTTTCCGGTCCCACCGAGCAACTGTTGATGGCGGCCCGCTCGCAGACCTGGAAGAGAGGTCAATGATCCTCCTCCTCCTCCTCCTCCTCCTCCTCCTCCTCCTCCTCCTCACTCCTCCTCCCTCACCCCCTCCCTCCTCTCCCTCTCCCCCTTCTCCTCGTCTTCCTCCTTCTCGTCCCTCCTCCCCTCCCCCGTCCCCCCCCCCCGACTCCCCTCGTCCTGCACCTCGCTGACGGCCCGCGAGGGCGACCCCGGGCGCGACGGCGACCCGGGCCGCGTGACGGCCCGCGAGGGCGAGGCGGCGGCCGCCTCCGCGGGGCGGGCCCCCATTCCTTTGTCGCGTTCCTCCTTCTCCTCCTCCTCCTCCTCCTCCTCCTCCTCCTCCTCCTCCTCCTCCTCCTGTTGCTCCCCTCATGTTCCTCCTCCTCCTCCTGCTGCTGCTCCTCCTCCTCCTCCTCCTCCTCCTCCTCCTCCTCCTGTTGCTCCCCCTCATGTTGCTCCTCCTCATGGTCCTCCTGCTGCTCCTCCTCCTCCTCATCCTCCTACTCCTCCTACTGCTCATCCTCCTACTGCTCCTCCTCCTCCTCCTCCTCATCCTTCTCCTCCTGCTCCTCCTGCCACTGCTCCTCCTGCTCCTCTTCCTCCTCCTCGTCATCCTCATCGTCCTCCCCCTCCTCCTCCTGCTCCTCCCCGCTCCCACTCCTCCTCCACCTCCTCTTCCTCCTCCTCCTCAAATCACGGTCGAATGACAATATCAAAGCAATGGCAGCAGCAGCAATGGCAGCAAGGCGAAGCATTGGTTCACCCATCTCCTGGGAGTACAAGTTTCGCACCAAAATGCTGCAGTGACGAACGGATCGATAAACCATGCATGGGAAGCGAGACCAAAGAGACAAGGGGAAGCGTGAGAAATGACAAACATGCTACGCACGCCCTGCGTAACATAAGACTCGTTCATTTCTCTTCTGGCTTGCACTGTGAGCTGGACGAGGGGATGCGGACAAAAACACCTGAACCTACCAACCCACCCTAGGTGTATACAGTCACTGGGCAACGTACAATCGACTGAATTTTGTTTGCTGCACCCGTGTGGAAATACAGGCTCTAAGACCTCGCATCAAGGGTGCAGTGTTTCGCAAAACCCGATGCCGAACAACGCATTTCACCAGAGATGTGTGAATCAACGGAACAAGGCATCTCTTCTGCTGGCCTCTGCTTGAAGACGCGCGCGTTTGCCCGCGCGCCTGGCAGTCGAAATTTGCCTGAGCTCGCCTGATGCCGGGATGGACCGTCTTCAAGCCGTACCCCCGCTTCACAAGGCGACATTCGAAGACCTGGAGTTCTGACGAACGGATTTCTCTGCGCCACCATCTTCGTAAGATTCGACACGCCACCCCTTTTACCACTGCAGCGGGGGACAAGCGAAACGGGAAAGCGAGCCCCTCGATGACGGTCCGCGAGGGGCTTACGAAACATGGCGTAGTCTAAAACGTTCCTGGGCAGAAGGGGCAATAAAAAGTCGGGGAAAGCAACGCTGGAACGGTCAATGGCAGTAATTTCCCAATTGATGGTGCTCCTCCTCTTCCATATCCTTCCTCTCCTCCACTTTCTCCTGCTCCTGATCCTTCTCCTCTTCTTCCCCCTTGTCCTCCTCCAGCTCCCCCTGCTCTCTGGGGAAACAGCGCCGGATCCCTGGGGAAACAGTGGCGGATTCCTCAGGATTCCTCAAGCTTTTTCTGAAGTCCTCAGGCCTCCAAAAGCGGAACATGGACCCCGGATTGCACTACCACTACTACTACTACTACTACTACTACTACTACTACTACTACTACTACTACTACTACTACTACTTCTACTTCTACTTCTACTATTACTACTACTACTACTACTACTACTACTACTACTACTACTACTGCTACTACTACTACTACTACTACTACTACTACTACTAC